CAGATTGGGAAGTTGCCTAGCATAATAATATTCCCGATAATCATTAACATTTACAGCGCAGCAGATGTTACATTGTGCTCAATGAACGAGTGTGTTGTATAAAAGACTATTTCAAATTTGAACCAGATAGTGGAAAATTAGGAACAGGTCTACTAACCATCTGTTCCCGTTTCGCTTGCCTCTGCAGTCAAATGTTTGCTCGAGAGGAAGAGGGTAAAGAGAGCTGGTTTGGCAGGTACACCATTGTTTACCCAAGAGACCCAGCTGATGCACCATCAAACAGTGTCTGAGTGTAGATTATAACAAATTGTCTGCCACATACTGCTCCATCTCAGAGAGCTGAATGGCCACGCTCAACAAAGAGCAGCACAGAACACGGCTGCTGCTGCTAAATGAAGTATCCTATCTGGATGTATTAAAACCTCCATCAGAGGGAGATAGCTAGCAGTTATCCTGGATAGTAACACCATCGTTTATTGTATAAAGCATTTGAAAAGCACTCTGTTGATAACGACAACAAATTGCCACTGGTTGATCTCTAAAATACTGACATAAAAAAGAGTAAAAATGTTCCTCCCTGGGAATAAACAAGCAGCTAATAGATGTTTGTTGTGTGTGTATGAGACAGAAGATTTGGACTCCCCTCTTTGAACGCCCCCATGTGTGGTCATGATTATGAATAGGGGAACACAGAGGCCTGTACCATCGCCGTGGGAACTAGGACTACGTTAAACAGTCATTATCAAGTGGCCCAAGCCAATGTAAGTAACAATAGTTAGGTAACAATGGATAACCAAAGCATATCAAGCTTGAGGGGATGATGTGTATTGTTGTGATGGGCTTTAAATATGCATTTGGTAAGATGTTTACACCAAAATACGCTTGATGTTCCAGCTTGAATCACAACGTGGAGCTGCAGTAGCATCTATACAAACAGAGATGTCATAGATTTGACCTATTTGCCTGAGTTAAATATACGTGTTGGGGTCGAACAGAAGCAGAACATATTCCATTTCTTCCCAGTTTAATGACATCACAGTTCACTTTTTTCTGGGTTTTGAAGTTTTCAAACTTCAAACGGGGACGACTCGCTGCCATTTGGGACTGACAGTGTTCCAAGTTGCTCGCTGCAGCTTTAAATAGACGACATTAATGAGTGCCTCTTCTAAAATATGCATTGAGTCCTATTTAATCTTTGCCTTATCACATTGAAGTGGCTAGAGGTGATTATTCTGAACTTTACTTGACTGGGCACAAATGGATTTCTCTTGGATGAGCTTTGCCCGAGTAATGCTAAATGAGCCAATCATTGTCTTTTGAAATATTGTTGGTCGCGGGCCAGTTCAGCTCAAGAAAAAAAAGGAACAATAGTGTTACATATCCATTACGGGATGAGCTGCCAAGTAGCAGTTGTTTTATGGGAAAGAAGCTTCCTAGGCTTTAGGGGAGGCACCCTGGTATTCAATTTAGGGCTTTAAAGTGATGTTATTGTTTTACATGTAAAGCAAGCCCCAGTTTAACATTGTGCTGAAGAATATATGGAATTAAAGGGATGGATGAATCCAGTGTTTTCGGTGTTGAAACTTTAATTTGATATGTTTCTCTCTCTGCTTCAGACACGATAAGCAAATATAAAATGTCAATGTCATGTTCCTCATCCATTTTTGATATTTTACAGAATCATTTAATCTGTTATTCACTTACTGTGTTGTTTTCCCTTGCGGGTAATACAATCTATGATTGATTTATTCTGTCCTTAGCTCTTTTAATCAACTCTTTGCAGTGAAGTTTCCATTGCAGGTTTATATTTTGTGGTGCATTGTCCACACACCAAACGCAGCACATTTGACTGAAGGCTGTTATTTAGTGCATGACATTGTCCACAATGCCATATGCAAACAACACAAAGCACATTTTATTTCCTTTCTGCCACATCTTATTACAGTTGACTGTTGTGTGAACGGCTCTGTGCCTCGGCCATGGGAGCCTCGTCCTATCAGAGGGCCAGACGCTGCAGCAGCTGTTTTAATAGAACCCCTTATGTCTCCCTTGATCCAAGTCAGCTCACCTGGTGTGAATCAAGCCACTTGGCCATACTTTGTTTGTTTGTGTGTCCTATTGCCTTTCCTTCCAGAAATAGGACTCCTCTTTCTCTCAACTCTCAAGGCAATGTCTAGCCCCAGGTGTATTAAAGCATGACTGCCCCCCCTCTTGTCAGGGTTAGAACAAAGCAGCAGCACAAGCGACAAAACCCGCCAGCCCCAGACCCTCAGCACACCTACATATCTCCCTAATGCTCCGCCTTCCTCTCTGGCTGTTTTGCATCTGACTATTTGTCCTTCTCTTCTCTCTGTTTCTGCATCACTGGCTCTCACAGCCCCTCACAGAATCTACCTTATTGCATGTATGTGTCTCTGCCCTTCTATGGCTTTGCCGCTCTGTGGTGTAGTCTGTAATTACAGCTTTATTCTGTGAGCTCAGCCAAGGACTCCTTGGTTCTTGAGTGAAAGGGGTCCCTGTGGGCGCCTGGGGTCCTTCACGGAGGGGATTTAGGCTCTGTGGCTGTGTAATTATGCCTATTCCTCTGGTTTCCATTTGCCTGAGCTGCTGTTTATTTGGTTCAATCTGAGTGGGGAGCATCTGACTCAAAGGAGGAAGGGCAGAGGAAAGGAAAGAGGGAGGGAGAACGGGAGAGGCTGGAGCTTTTCACAAAGCCAGCCCTATTGTTTGAGCATTCAAGTGGGGGAGGTCTGGCCAGGTACATATTTATGAGGTTTTACGGCCGCCTCCCACCCCCACTTCTATCCAACTCAAGATTAAACTTTAACTAGTGTCGCCGCACAGTAAATTGTGTTTGCTATTTCAACAAATATCACAGTACAGCTGCCACGACTGGTAATCTAAGCTGTGATAAAATAGAGGGAAGAATTGCCCTGCGGTGCACGAGGACACAGGTGTTCCTCAAGGTACACATGACAAGGTTGCCAGTCCTCCCTGTCAAACTGTATTAGTAAATCAATCTGTCATCGTCAAATGCCCCCCAAGTTTAAATCTCTATAGAGAGGGTCTCGCTGATGTGGTCCGAAGGAAATGAAAGATGATGTGAACTCAGTAACTTCAAAAGGTTGTCAGGTTTTTTTTTTTATATCATTTGATGTAGGCAGTGAAGGCTGTGCTTGAGTTGAGGCTTTAACTGTGTGTAGAAATGCCCTTTCTCTCGTAATGCTCTGCTTTTGAGAGTTGTGCACCTTGCTGTGAAAGATTGAAAGAAATACATTGTTCAACTGTACTTAATAATAGGAAACGAAATATTTCCTCTCTTTTGTGCATGCAAGTGTCCTTCAGATGGCTACCTATAGTTTTTATAGGAAACATTTTCATTACAATCGCTGCCGCCCCCCGTCTGTCTGCTTAAGATTCATGTAAAGTTGAAGAAAGACTACATCTGATACTGAATTATGTGGGTGTACACATAAATGGATCCCTCTCATGTATTCTTACACATTTTAAAGCCCCCTGTGGAAGGTTTATCTCTGAACACAGCGATTATCCATCATTGTGATGCAGTTACTCAGCGTTAGAGAGCCTCTCTGTTTGTGAGCCATGTGTGTAGGTCCCAGTCCTCCACTTGAGGCCACAACATAGTTTCTCCCTGTTTATGACTTTATTCACTGTTGGCTTTATGAGTCCAGTGTGATGAACGGAAGAATTTCTGTCTTTCTTCCTGTGGGTCCTAGTCTATCCATAGGAGATAATTATAGTGGTGACTGGTTGTAAATAAAAGCCTAGCCAAGGGTTGTCCGACCTGGGAATGAGACATCATCAGCCCTCACCTGGAAAGAAACATAAATCAGAGGCTGAGGTAAAAAAGATGTGAGGAAGACAACAGGATGCTGCAGTCCAATGACACATCTGTTCAGATTGCTATCAGTTAAGACCATGGGCCAGGTGGAAGTGGAAGTGTTTTTCTGCAGACTCAGAATAAAGGAACAACAAATGTTTTTTGTCAATATTCATTTCAATGGTCATACTAATCAATATTAAAAGAAAAACATAGAAAACAACAGATCCTCAATTTTGAGAGGCTAAAAGTAGCAAATGTTTAGTATATTTGCTTAACAGATAACAAAGAAAAATTATCATCATTTTATATTCTGCCAATTAGTGAATCACTAGATAAAGGCAGGCAGATTGAAAGGGACAGCTAATGCCTGCATGTAGACACACAATGCATCAAGACAAAAAGCCAAGGGGCATGAGAAACAGAGGTTTACTCTAGAGTTTAGTTAAAGGTCAAGATATGCATAAAGACTAAACAACACGCGGGATTAAAGAAGGTCCATCCTTGCTAATTGACCCTTTTTTCTACCAAACCCCCTACAGGCTCGGGTAGCTGGGGAGAGGGGCATAATTGCTAGTTTTTTTTATATGTAGCTAAAGTGTGTGTTCTCATTGTTTTGAGTGCTTACTCTTGCATTGTTTCTTTAATAGCAGCTCCAGGCACTCATTGAAGTATTTGTGAGTAAAAAGTAATTAAAATTACAATGGGCTAGCCAGGATTTTGCGGGGTAGGTGGCAGGGCGTCGCAGCACACGATGACTTGGCTCCAACTCACTGCCCTTGTACTCATTCATTACGGATGCATTGGTTCTCGCTCGGTCCTTCCATCTCATCAGTTACAGTACCCCCATGGACAAAGACAGGGTTGTAAAGAAGTGCCCATTATATTAATAACCCCCTGAGTTTTTACATGCAACCTCCATGTACCAACCCTTTACAATGATGTAAAGGGTGCAGACGTTGCTTTTGTAGCATACTGGGGATTGTGTAGCTCAATCCATGAGTTTGACTGTGCGTGCATGTACTACCTAGGAGGCTGAATTGACTCCTTGACTTTCAGTGCATGTACTTGCTATTGACTAGAGTGCTCTGCTTGGTCTTGGAAACTTGTTAATTGTAATTAAACGTTGTCTTTTTCTGTCTCTTTCTTTTACTTCTAGCTGGCGACGGGCAGATGGTGCAGATGGACTCCAGTAAGTCTGGCTTTGTGGGATCACAAGTTGAACTGCGCTGCATCTTCATCAACAGCAACCCTCCCGTCAAGATCTCTCAAGTCACCTGGCAGAAGCTCCTCAACGGCACCAAACAGAACGTGGCCATAGCCAACCCGGCCCTCGGCGTGTCAGTCCTGCCGCCCTTTAAGGAGCGCGTTACCTTCAAGCAGGCGGCCGTTCGCCACCGCACGCCCTCGCTGGAGGACACCACCATCGTGTTCTCCAGCCTGCAGCTGTCTGATGAAGCTGCCTACATCTGCGAGTACACCACGTTTCCAGCAGGAAACAGGGAAAACACGGTCAATCTCACTGTATTTGGTAAGCAATGGTGTTGAATATGTTACAATAATAGCAGTTACCTGAAAGGCAAAACTGGCAGGAAAATGTATTTTAGAGAAGAACAATGCCTCCTTCAAGGGTGGACATGTTTACTCTGTACATGAGAAGAGACCGTGTTAATATTCCAATACCCTACCAGTGGTGTTCCCATGATTTAAACGCTTTCGTATGGTTTGCTACAACTTCCCATTTCGTAGAAGCAAGTTGGCAAGTTTTGTTTTAACAAAAGATATCAAAAGTCCCTCTGCATAGATTTGAAGTTTATTAATCTAATCTCAGTTCTTCTTGAGCTAGATTGTATTTGTCTTTATTGACACAATAGTTGCACATTCAGCACAGGTTTTTGAATGTGCGTTTGTGGGTGAATATAAATGCCCGCCTTATCAAACAAATAAGTTACAAACTGTGTGAATAGCATGTTTTTCCAAAAGAGGGGATAAGAAAACCACCCTTTTCAGCCTTCTGATGATGATAGTTTGTTAGTGTGCTTTTTGTGTTATTTAGCTTGAAAAGTAGGAGAATTGTCTCAATGACTAACTTAATTTAGAATGTTTGCCACCAAACATCTTTAAAAATGATCGAAATTTGTAGGTGCACTGTTTTCAGTAAAATAACTAAAATGTAACCACATTCAATACCACGACCTTTTAATGTTGGTAACCAGGGTTTTTATGTGCCTTAGTCAGCAATTAGTAATTGTAAAGCTTCCACATGAGGAAAACACATTTGGGAAGTGAAAAACAGATATCATCACATTTCAAGCCAAAAAAGAGAAGACAAAACAGGTTGTGCACCCTAGCCAAGGAGTTATTTCCTTATAAGAAGTCAGAGGGATATAAAAGCTGTCACCTACATTTGGTTTATCTTCGACTTGAGGCACAAAAAGAAAAATGTTCTGAATCAGATAACACAGGGTCAAACTAACTTCTTCCCTTATAGTGAAAGCCAAAAAGAAAACACCTTCACAGCTCTGCTCTTCAGTGTGACATCGCCACAGGCAGTGTTGTAAAGTAGGTTGAGTTTCTTTGGAAAAACAAAAAAGCAGATGCTGCTCTGGAGCTGCTGCTAAAATCAAGTTGTTTACAGTTAATACCATTGCCACCCAACACGTCTCTATCCGTTGAGGACCTTGTTGTGTATACATGTTCATTGTTGGGGTGTCATTTAACACCAGTCCCAGATTGGCTCATGTGGCTTTTATAAAATAGGATACCGCTGAAGAGAGCAGTCAATAAAAATGGCAGGTGAGACGGAAATCAATAAGGCCACTTCAGAGTGTGTCATTGGGCTTGAATAATCTCATCTAGTGGGAAACAGAGGAGCGTCTGGGACTTAGTTTACTTTGGCAAGAGGCAGCTTTGAAAAGGTTGTACACTGACTTTGATTAGGGATCTAATTAGAAATTAAGTGTTGCTGTGTTTTCCATTAAATCCCAGTAAAAGAAAAAGCACTTGGCTTAAGTAGTCCCTGTTGCCGGGGCTTCTTGTCAGCTCTGAGTCCCCGTTTTGTGTCACTGAGCCTCCCAGGTCTTTTTAGGCTTCCGTGGCTCAGTGAATGTGAGGAACCTGTGTGTTGATAACCAACCGGCAGCGTTCAAAGAGGCCTCTTCATGGCTTATCTTTTCAGTTGTGCATTCGTTCAAGCTCAAGCCTGCCTTTTGATGTACCAAGAGTAGATTGCTAATTGGCAACTTACAAAGGATTTCAAATTGGATGATTGTGCATTTCGCTAGGAAAGTGGGTTCTACATCTGTGAGAGCTTTGACAACTGCTTCTGCTTTGAGAAGGCAAGAGGCAAAACATTGCTGTTTTGATTTACAGCACTGTTTTCATCTCTCATTCCCTTAGTTAGTTTTACTCTGAGTTCAAAAGGCTGATAGTAGACAAAATTAGACACTTTAATGAGACGGAAACTGAAGGAAAAAGCACAACATATTTGTTTAATGAGCTTGACTTCAATTAATTTTGATTGTTTAATCCTTTTCTTCTCGATAGCCCGGCCTACGACACGTATGACCCTGACAACCCCCACGATTGTGGCCAGATCCACGAAGCGCAAGATGACTGTCGCCACTTGTATATCGGCCAATGGGAAGCCCCCAAGTGTGATCAAATGGGACACCAGGTTGAAGGGTGAAGCCACTTTCCAGGAGACTCGCAACCAAAATGGCACTGTGACGGTGAGGAGCAACTACGTGGTGGTGCCGAGCCGCGAGACCCACAAACAGAAGCTGACGTGTATCGTGACGTACCGGAGTGAAAGGATCACAGAGAGCGTGGTGCTCAACGTGCAGTGTAAGAATCTGCTCTTTTAAAACTGCCCTATTGAGAATGTTTTAGGTTTGTTTTTTACAGTTAAAAAAAAAAAAAGTCTAAGTTTAAATGAGCAGGTTGGTTATCTTCACCTGGATTTAATGTTCTTATGAAATTATGTGTTTGGTTTCCTGCTGTGTAAACCGCTCACCATTGTTTACAGTAAACAAGACCCTTTTCCAGTTAGACAAGTCAAGAAAACAAATAAACATGTGCTGCTAAGTATGCAGTACTAAGAACATGTTGGGATACTTTTTATATACGTTTTACAAAAAGATTTCCCCTTTTTTGTTCCTAATTATTCACAAAATAAAATGTAAAAATGATTAAGAAAAATAATGGAACAATTGTTGTGTTGACATTTTGGAGGACTTTTATATCAAATGTCATTCTCCTATGCACCACAGGTTAGAATATTATGTTGTCCTTTTATAAGTATTTACCTCTAAGTACAGCAATGCAAAGTAAAACGTTTTTTTTCGTGCGTGGGGAAATTGTTTAAAAGTGTAAACACTAGTTAAGTTGCTGTGACAGTGGTGCAATGATGCAACAGTTCTTTGGGATTATGTTGTAAGGTGCTGACCTGACTATGGTGTGCCTTCCTTGCAGATGAACCCGAGGTGACGATCGAGGGCTTTGATGCAAACTGGTACCTGAACCGTCCGAATGTTCAGCTGACCTGCAAGGCCGAGGCTAACCCCCCTGTCACCATCTACCAGTGGAAACTGTGAGTCTCGCTAAACCCTAACAAAACCCCTTAAGGCTTAGAAATCAAGACAGCATTGCTACGAGTTGTTTCACTCACAATAAAATAAAGTGTTTATATGGAGTGCTTAGAAAGGCAATTTTATAGAATGGCCTAGTCGAATGTAGTCTGCTCTTTTCCGACATTTGTTTCAAGGCAAATATAGATATACATACAACAAAGTAATCTCTAAAGATAAAAACAATCCAGAAATGTTTCCCCGTTTATTTATTTGTTTTAAAATGTGTAATGAAGATAAGCTTTTCAACCTGAGGCAGAGCTCACTGGTCCTATTACGTCTGCAACACACACCCCTATCTGCCTGATGGTCACAGATACTGGAAGATGAATGGGAGCAGAACTCGCTTTGCTTCGCTTTTGGGGTTTTGCTTTGAAGTGTGAGGACCAGCATGCAGGTAGAGGGCTAAGAAAGTGCAATTGTTAATGCATTTGTGCTCATGAGGGCAGCGGTTTATCCCTGACACACAGAGAAGAGGGCTGAAACTGAAAACCGGAGTATGAGCCGTGGATTAGGCCAGCATTCCGCAGGGCTGACATCAGTCTTTTTGCCTGACTGTGAATACATGAGCAAGAAGAGATGCATGTTTTCAAGGCCTCTGGGAATCTCCCAGAGGCCCCGGGTTTGATCTGTTTTTAGTAATTGCATGAAAGTCGGTCACGCAGAAATTATGTAGTTTACATATGAGCACCGACACATGGAAGGAATACATCCAAAATGTAGATTTGTTACACAATCATTGGCCCTGATCAAACACCATGATTGGTTTTGGTTGTTGGGTGCAAAATGAAATGTTAAGTTAATGCAGCTTTTGGGATACAAAGCAACTATTGTGAGTGTATCACGGTTTAAAATGAATGTTTTATATGGTAAAATTGAGAGATAAATGTAGCAATTTGTCGTGTAATTGCTCTGTGAACGCTGGGTTGAGAAATATGTCACTGGACTTGAGTGGATGTGGATTAATAGACCATTGTGCCCTCATTGTATCTACTCTACAGCCCGCTGTTGGATTTGAATGAGGCATGGGGAGTTTTTTCCCCCCTTATACATAGATTCAGCTCTCGGGGCAGACACACTGATACACACAGCAGCTAAAGAATAGGGAAGCTTTGACCTGCTCGGGGTATTTTTTCCCTTTATCAGAGGCAAAGGGAGATTTAAGGAGATATGGGAGGCTAGCGAAGGAATAGGAGGAGGCTGAAGAGATGTGATCTAGAAAGACGAGGGCACTGTGCTGACAGATAGGAGGGGACGGCCATTGCTGCACTGAAAATGAGATGCCAAATCTGTTGTGAAGGTTCCCCTGGGCTCCTGTGTGGAGGTCAGCGCAATGCTGTGACGGAAGGATCTGGAGCAGGCTGGCAGGATTGCGTCACACTACACCACAAAAACACACACACGAGAGGTGTAGCCAAATCTAGTAAATACTAATATATCTGTGAGGAGGCCCACATTATTTTTACTGCTAAATGAAATGTAAATATGATTTATCTTATTGAATAGATAATAATAAAGGTTAAAGGTTCATCTATTTTGTAATTCATTGGGTTCATATGGCAGCTATTTGTTTTTCTGTTTCCACACTTGCTTTGTTTCCCTGCATTGTATGAAGAAAAAGAAAAACTGAGAATCTTTGATTTTCTTTGTTTTTGTAATAGAACAATGCCAGGGCTATTTCTCTAAATGGGTTAATTGGGAGCTGCACAGAACTAATAACGGAGACTCTACAAAACAAAGGACACACCCTATTTGAACTTTATTGTTTGTTTTTTTGAAATGTTTGCTTGTAGGGCATTCTTCACTCACCACGCTCATTTATTGAGTCTGTTTCAAGTGCATACATCAGTTTCCAGTGTGTCTAATGAATACTAAGTAGGGGTAGTGTTGTTTTATCATCAAAAATAACTCTATTACTTGTGTGCTAGGATTTCTTCTTTTTTGTTCTTCCTGAAAAGCCATATTCACACACACACACACACACACACACACACACACACACACACACACACACACACACACACACACACACACACACACACACACACACACACACACACACACACACACACACACACACACACACACACACACACATGGGGCTCTATAAATAAGAAAGCAGTGTTATTCTTATCACTGCGTTTTGCGGTGTGATTACTTCTAACTCCACTCTAATTAGCTGGCTTACTTATCTCCATTGTAAAAATGTGATTCTATTATTCATGTCGATTAAAGGCCACAGTAAGGGAACTGTTGGTGCGATTCACCAATGGCTGTGGATAAAACGCACAGATCACTTAATATCCCTTTAAGGCAAGTTTATTGCCCCTTTTATTTACCATAAGCAATTAGTAAGTATTGCTAATGCTTTCTTAGTCTCATCAAAGACAATGAAACTGCACGCTCGACACGAATACACAAACACATTTAGGCTGATTAAACGGATGTATGTTTGATTAAAGACGTCCTTTATCGCTACTTGTTTGTTTGTTCCATGTCCAGAAAGTATTAACTTGTTTTCTTTGATGAAGATTATAATTTCCTGTAATCAGGCCTCTGTTTCCAATGTAAACAATCTTATTTTGAGACCTATAAACTAGATTAAACAGACTATGAATAACAAGAGAATTTTAATTGTAGGCATCTAAGCATACACAGACTGTTTTATTTTCAGTATTGAAGTTCAAAGCCACCTCCACACAATGCGGGTTGTAGTAGCATGGTGGGATGATGGATGGACTGTCCTTGATACTCACACACACACACATTCAGATGTCTTCGTACAAATTCTCAAGTCGCCGCAGAATCTGTGGTGAATAGCATTTAGCCACCTTTCCCATTCTGCAACAAATCAATTGGGCTTTGCAAGACTCAGCATTCGATAGAGGCTCACAGGGTAACTGATTATTGAATCGTGGCACACTGTACTGTGGGTTGTTTGCAACTCTCTTGTACAAAGTCGCCAAGGTGGCCAATGAAAAACAGCTCCACCACAGCTCTTTCTATTACCCTTTTGTTCCCAGCTATGGACACCTTATCATTGAAAAATGTAACACTTCATTCGAAGGTCATATCTGTAAAGCAGTTTAGCAAGCCTAATTCACATTTTAATGCATATAGGGCTAATTCAAATGATGTATACATACTATAATCATTCATGAATATGTACATGACACGATTTATATAGTATAAAAAAGTGGCTGACATATTATATTGTAAGTTCAGCATTCATTATGCTTTATATGCTTTTTTTGCGATTTAAGTATTGTATACCCTCTCTTATTATGTATACCACTTTAAATACTGATGAATATGCTTGCAATGCCTGAAGACATGACATTTCTTATAATATATTAAAAAAAAAAAATCTCCAAGCTTTTCATACTGACTTGCATAGAAAATCTGCTCCATAGTCAGAATTGAACCACATATGGATAGGCCGTTTCTAAGTGACATGTTATTACCATGCCACTGTGTCTTTCCCCATGTCGCTGAAGAGCCTTGTTGAAAGCCTGTTTAGTGCAGCTCAAGTGCTTGATGTTTGGCCTTTGTTAGCATGAGACCTTATTTAGTTTCCTCTCTTATATTACATTTCATTTTTTTTTTCTGGCTGTAATCAATAGAGCTTTACATATACAAAGTGTGGGGTGTAACCTCTTTTGCAGAATCCTTAAAAAAACAGCGTCACCCACACCCAGCATCCCCACACAGTCACAGCTATCTGATTCTATCACAGTCTGTAGCTCCACTTGAGTAAGATCCATTCACAGCAGCTGATGAAGCTCATCGAGGGGAAGCTAACAGGAAACGTCTTATTGTCGCACAATTTGATACCTTTTTTCAAGCCTCCGGGCGCCACAAAAAGGGTCCAGATAATAGGAAGGAGGTTTAGTTAGCTCGTGATCCCTGACCTCAGAGTGTGCTGACCTGATCAAAGGACATGAGCAAGCCTGAACGCGGGAGAGAAAGTGGACCATGAAGACAAACACCTCAGGCAGGGAGACAGGCTCCACTTCTCATTGACAGCCCAGCATTTGGTAGATTCTACATTTATCGCTTGATCAGCTGCCTCTCTTGACAGGCCCCCTGAGTCTTCAATCCAGCCATGTGAGCGGTGCCGTAGTTGAGCAAAGAAGCCCCCGTCCTCCACCCCCCACCCTTCCTCCTACCACTGTCTGTTTTGTATTCCACCTGCCAAGAAAGCCTGTGTCCTCAGGCATCAACTATGTCTTGCCTGTTTGGACCTGCTGGGATTCCCTGTCCTCATAATTTAGTTTGGACTTGATGGATGATGGCTGAAATATAGTGCTGTCAAATATTTCTGGTATTTATCTTACCCTCGCACACACATCCAGGTTTGTTTTTGCACTAGAGACTGTATTTTTCATGCGCCTTGAATTGCTTTTGCTGCTCCTAGCGGAGGGTTTTTTTTTTTTTATATATAGCAGGGCCTAGCTGCTTTAATTCTGCCTTTTTATATTGTCTGTATTACCGCCTCTTTCTCTCCCCACAGCTTGAACGGCTCCCTGCCCAGTAATGTGGAGATCAAGAACAACACCCTGTCCTTCAAGGGACCTGTGACCTCGGACCTGGCCGGCACCTACGTCTGCGACGCAACCAACGGCATCGGGACTCGAACTGGCATTGTGGACGTCAACATCACAGGTAGGTTGACACAAGCGCTCGCTTCCGTTCTCTGTCTCTTAAGTAACTCCGGCATGGCTTGCGTCAATACAGTACCCTGCTAAAGGGAACCATCAAACCCCCTATTCAAGCAAACATTCACACACACATGATGGAAGATGATAGTCTGGGGTTTCTCGATGCTACTCCCACCTGGCCTGGCTGTGTGGCCCCCCAACTGCACTGTGAGGAAGGTGAGATGAGCTTAAAAAAAAGCCTCTGTGTTTGTGTATCATCGCTACTCACACACACTGTGAGAACACAACAGCCGCCCCCTCTAACCCTGCCCTGTTACGCACCCAGGCGCATGTGTGGGAGCGATATAAAGCAGGTCTATTATCAGCGCCTAAAATAACATGAAGGAATATGGGGGTTTGAGGTGAAGGTACTGTATTGATCATAGTTTGCTCGCATCACGCTCCCATTTCTCCGAACAGCCCGTGCCTCTTTTGTAGTGGAGCTCTGCCTTCGTTCTTTTGTCTCTTCTGTCTTCTGGGGAAAACAAAATGCTGAACAAAACTGATTCAGTTCCTTTGCCTTCCACATAATCGCTGGCACACACGCACAGTGGTTCCTCTGGGTTTTCATCCATAGGAGACATATTTTGCACTAAAAGCCCTTGCTATACCAGATTTCACTATATGAACTGTTAATGTGGGAATCTTTTTCTATTGCTAGCAGCTGTGTGTGTGGTATTGGGAGACTGTGACAGTTTTGCTCTGGTCGGACTGGAAGGACTTTTTCCCTTCACTCTTTGTTCTACTTGTTTTCTGGGAAGCGGGGGTGTTCTAACTTGCATTGCTTTGCATGTTGACTCATGTTGTGTCTCTGGAAACGCTGGGCTTGGTGTGAAGTGAACAGCTGTGCCTTACAGTATCATTGGATACCTTTTTTTTCCTGTTTCCTCTTTTTCACTGTGTTATTCTCTACTGCTTAGGGGTAAAGCTAGGAGGAGAAAGCAGCTCTGTTAAGTGTGATGCCATTACCTGCGTTGTGAGAAGTTGTCAAAGGAGAATGAATAGCCCCATACTTATCAAGCAGGAAAGTGAGGAAGTAATCTACAGTCTGGAAATCACCCAGCACCAGCTTGTGTTGAGTAATTGTGTTCCAAAGACATTGTACTCTTTGATACTGTATCCCTTTAGAGTAGGCAAAACAAAGGCACCAAAGTAATTTTCTATTTCAGCTTTTTCATTGATTGCTTAAATTAACAAACCACACTGGCTTTGTCCCTGTGGTCTTTCTGTTTATTCTCCTCATTTATGTGTTTAATTGTGCTAAGTGACTGCGGTGAATAGCGCGTGGGTGCATCATTTGAGCACAATCAATATACATTTGAATGTATACATATGTAAAGCCAAGCAAAGGTTTGCAGGGTGTTGAGCAGCTTAAAGGAAATGTAATGCTTGAATTTGAAGTTGTGAAAACACTCTTTGCTCTCAGCGAGAGCTAGCTTTTACTCCCTGCTACTCTGCACGTTTACCGTAATTAAAACCCTTTAGTTATTACATGTCACCTAGAGACCTAGTATTATGTCAACGAAAGGTTTTTACATTTTTTCTTGAGCTAAAAGAACCAAATCTTTGATATCTTGAGATTTACTAGATATGTAGGGTCTCCTGTGTGTCTTTGCTGCTGCATGTTTGTCTTGCTTATAGCTTAACTTAGTCGATCTTGTTTAAACTCTTGGTCACAGCAGTTACTTCACATTGTGCATCTAATCACAGGAGCATTTCAAGAACTCATAATCCTCCTTCGATTAACGACGCAGTCTTTTGGCTTTGCTAATGGTAGCTACCATAGCTTGATAGCTAACGATGATAGCTAACAATAGCTCTCCTCCCTCCCTATGATGCTATCTCCTGTTCTATGTGCCTCATGTTGGGTTATTTTGCCTGCCTCCTTTACTGGTAACGGTACATGTGTTGCATAGTTGCAAGGTTGGAGGCGGGAATTGTAGCGATAGACAACCCAGTCTCACTCGTGTTTAATCTATTGATTCGTGTTCACCAACACGATTTTCCCCTTTTTTTCGTGTCACACAGAACGATTTTAAAAGCAATGTATTTCTATTGGAAGTGTGTTTCGTGCCTGCAACACGTCTTTTTGTCCGGTCGGGTCTTGGAAGACCGGAAGCTGTGTGGTTCATAAAAACATGTTCTTTATATATACAGTCTATGGTTCTTACTCAATATCAAGCCACGATTATTGTTTTTATTTTAAATTGTATAATGTCGGACTTCTTTTGCCGTCCGCGAGGAAAAGAAATGGGGCTCAGAGCCTCAAAATACTGAAATCTGTATTTTTGTAATCTTTTTTTCTTTCTAATTTGTTATTATTTTCTAAATAACACTGTTATTTACTCAACAATAACACACAATTAGCCTTGTTTTTATTTATTTGTTTAATTCTATAATCTCTGGCTTTTTTGGCGTCCGTCAGGAACTGAATTTCAAAATAAAATAACTGAAAACAGATACACAGCCACTGAACTGATTACCCAAGATCCTCAGCTATGGTTTAAGCTCGGTAATTGGATTGTTTAGCCGCAATGCACGTTGGGATATGGTGTCAATGCGATATGAAGTGATCTCTACAATAAAACAGTTTAGTTTCGGATGTACAAAGATATTAATAGGAGGAGGTGCAAAACAGAAAAACGAATTAACCTTTATTCAAACATTAAAGAATACTTTAGGTTAAGGTCTTCTTTCAAATAGGGAAAAAGCTTTGGGGGTATCTACAGATAAATATTAAGCCTGAGCCGGTGGGGGCTATGGGGCAGGTTAAGCTGCTAATTCTGCTTGAAACTACCTTTATTAACAGTAAAGTGTACTCAAACTCAGATAAAAACTATTTCAGCAAGTGTACATAAAAACAAGAGTAAAGAAAACCCATTTCCTTTTAGTTCTGATGGCAAGATGGCACTTTATATACTGTCATGCAAATGCACACCTAGAGAAGAGCTTCGCCTAGTGAAAAAATAACTCGACAATATGTGTCTGCAGAGAGGATGTGCTCCAGCAAGCCTTTTCTGGGTGTTGACTTCATGTTCTCCAGCTTCCTGAGAGTGAAAATAGCTTGACAGTAGCTGTGTCACACTATGCTCTCTCTTCACATGTGTGGGTGGGAAATATGAGCTTATGTTCACCTCTATCCTTTTTCTGTGCCAGGGACTACATGCTGTGCATGTGCCGCAACCTTGTTATCCCTGCCTGGAAGACCTGTGGCTTGAAAATAGACATACGCCCCCCACCTAAAAATGAAATAGCTCTGTCTCTCTACCTTATAGCACCTGGTTGCCTGGTGTTATGTGTGTGACTTACTATGGTGCTAGCCCAGGATCTAAAATAGCTTCAGTTAATCCCTCAGGTTTCAATAGCTGTCACTATACCTTATATCACCTGAGCTGAGCACGGGAAAGAGAGGAAGGAATGAAAATAGAGGATATGAGCATCGGAGCCATAGGAAGGGGGGGTGACACAAAAGAGGATGGCAAAGGATGTATAAGGCTCCGTTAGGAAATGTAAAGCAAAACAAAAAGTATGTTTAATGTTAGGAAATTGGAAATATGAAAGAGTACTCAAAAGGCTGCAATTTAAGTCATCTATTTCTCTTGATTTGTCTCTTTTATTTCTCCCTGCAGGACGCCAGCCAGTCACTCAATCCTTCAAACAGTGGATCTCCATCAATTATTTACCCTCAGCCCTTGTACTTTTCCACTACAGATTGCAGGCTTATTGCAGAGCCCTGTAATCACATCTCCCCTGGGCCAGCGCGGGCTGAAATAGTAATGGCAGATACGTAACATCTAAAGCCACAGCATGTTGGGATGTCATCCGCGTTTTCGAGCCATCAACACTCCTCCAGCTATGACTCACCCACAGTGGCCTTGCCTTTAAAATAGCTTATAATGGCCTGCAGAAAGGCCTGTTTAACAATCTCACACACATAAGCGCTTTCAGGTTATGTGCAAGCATAAAGAGAGGCCAAGCAGATCATGCAGTATGGACAGGCTGCTGTCAAAGCAAGAAAATAATGCCTATAATATTGTCATTGTTTTAACCCTTGTGTTGTGTTCGAAAGCTGTTACCGTTCATGGTGTTCGCGGGTCAATTTTGACCCGTGATTTATTTCAGTCCAAAACACAAAAAAATAATGACTATCATCCAATATTGTTTTAACTACATCATAACTAACTTATTATGCATTCAGAACCGTACAATCCGGTTGTAATCGTATTTTATGGGCCCAAAACACATTACACAACATATTGCACACGTGCATGTGTGTGTTCAGGTTCAAGTGTTTATGTACATATTCTTTGTGAAAGGTGGAGTTCCCGTGGGGGGAGGGAGGCCAGAGGGAGCCTCTGTGAGCGCGAGTAACTTGAAGAGAGTGGAACCCCCCCGAAAACCCCCTGGAGACCACAGAGACAGCGTCGCGTTGAATGTAACTACGACCAGTCGCTGGCTAGGCCGAGAAACGACGGTGCCGCTATCAGTGCGAGTTACCGCCGCTGTATCAGCAGTCTACGACACCCCCTTGCGGCCCTGTTTTATAATGTCCTACGGACCAACACGGTAGGCGGGTGGTCACGACCTGGGGGCCTTGTGGACCGAGTGGGGATGTTGCTGCCAAGACGGGTGGAGTTGTGTGCTGCGAAGTTAGTCTACGTATTTTACGAACCTCCGATGGCCGAAAAATAATCATTGTACATGACACTTTCAGACGGAGTAATACAAAAGCGATAACTTATGTTGTTTGTGTGTGAACGTTGACTATTGTGACCGTTACTAAAATCCCCACCACCACCACCCTGATAATTTTTTTTCTTAAGTACAGAAGTTTAATTCACCACCCATGCCGCATGGGGCGCAGGTTGCGCGGTGATGGTGACGGAAGCACAGATAACATGAGGCTTTACGAAGATTAAACGCGACGCAGGAGGCAAGTTTACTTTAGGCGGACGGTTAGTAGTA